CTTGTCCGTCTGTAGTGTGGTTATATAAAATATAAGAGAAAGAGAGAACTTTAAGAAATTAATATAGCCACCACAGTGACCATCAAAACGATGAAAAAATATTTCCGTAAACAGTTTATTTTGCGACACCACGAAACAAACGATAGCGTAAAATGAAACGATAGACGTTTTTATATCGTCATCCGATATATATCGTTATATCGAACAGCCCTAGTACACGTTTATTAAATGCCAGGAATCAGTTTCAAAAAGCTGGCACAGGACCAATAAAAGACTGAAAAACTCTCATTAACTCATTAACGTTCGACTGCAAGTGGCTCTATCTTTGTTCTGTTTTTACTCTAGTGTGACTAAAATGATCGGTGTCTTTCATAAGTGAAGATGTAGGAGGCTTCTCCACCCTGTACATAGTTACTCCTTATTTTGTTTGGTGCCACATATGGTGCTTTTGCCAGAGAAGGCCATACCTGTTTGACTGAGACAGTGCCATATCACATCCTCCCTGTCTCATAACAGCAGGGCTGCACAGTGTGGTTGCATTTAAAACATGTCCTGAACCGTTTAGCAGCTGAAACCCGCATTAAGCAAATATATGGAAATGAAATGTTTCACTGTCTACACAGCAGCTGCTGCTCTCAATTCTGAAATGGGTGCCGAGTGTTTTTCAATTTTTATCTGTACCTTACAGAGTGTTTCAACTCATTTTGACACGGGATACTTTTTAACGTCCGAGGAGAAAAAAAACCCCACTTAACTCTTATCCTACTGGATCGGGTTTGGCGTGATGCTTTGAGGGAAGATGAAACTGCATGTACGGTATCGGAGCTGGGCTGGACTCTGACACTGTGTCAAATGTAAATATCAAAACTGAGACCAGTGCTGCCAGTCAGACAAGCTTCCTTCTCAGGTTTGCAGCACCAGCCAAGCCCCTACAGTTAATTCTTGAAGGTCAGATCAGAAACACAGTTTGACCTTTAAATTATTTTCTGTAATTCATTTATTTTGTCTGGAATCTTGTAACCACAGGCCAGGAGATGTAGCACAGATACCCTCCGTAGTGTCCGTAGCGGACTAAAGGAGGACGCGATCTGCAATTTAAGGCTTTGAAAGGTGCTGTTAGACTTTTTTAACTTAGCAGACATACATGAAGAAAAAAAAAAGCAATTTCCTCATATCTTCCCAGTGCCAAATCCGCTTTGGAGGAAGAAAGGAGATCGCCACAGACTCAGACAGCAGGTAAGAGGAGCTGCCTGTTACCCAGAAATTCTTTTGCTTTATCACTGTGGTTATTTATCATTCTAAAAGGTGCTTTGTTTTATGTGTGGAGCTCCAGGTCATAGATGATGTAGTGCTTTAGGCTCCAGTATGTGCTTGCGCTACCTCCAGCTTTTTCAGTACAGCGATCTGGCTGTACGCCCAGCTTTGAGGGTTACTTTCTAAACAGCAAAATCATTTTTTTAGATGGAAAATAATTGTTGTTTTTTGTTGTTGTTGTTTTCGGTCTGAGAGCTTTAGCAGACTTTCCATCATATCCGAGCAGTGAGAATGTTCTCCTTTGTGATGTTAATGGTGGCTATGTAAGAAAAATGATGTACCAACTTTGTTTCATTAGAGCTTCATGCTGAGAGAGAATACTATTGATTCATGTTCTGTGCTGCTCAGATCTCATTTTCAGCTCTGAGTACTGGTTTTTAAGATTCAATATTATGTCCGCCTTGTAGATGAAGAGCATTTATAAAAGACTGGTTAGTGGCACTAATGCACCTGTTTCATCACGAAAGCTGCTTTTAAAACTGCGTGCTAGTAGTAGGATGAATGACCTGTCTCCTCTCTAGGTCAGAGGATGCTGTAGCCACGACTTCCAAAAGGAATTCGTTTTTACTGTATGGTCCACAGTATAGTTTTCCACCTCTCCTCAGTTCATCTTAAAGTTGGTGACCAGTACCGTGATGCATGGTATACCCAGCAGAAAAGGACCCCCCTCCCCGCCATCACATCATAATAGTAGAGCTGGAAAAAGTGTGTGGCGGTGACCAGCTGGTTGCAGCACAGACGGTGTTTTAAATGTAAAACTGTGATGTTACCGTGCCCCTGCTCGAATGTGCCTTCTAACTGTAAAAAGTTAGATCCTGCCGCTGCCAGCCAGGCAGATGGCCTCCACAATCCAGCGAGAGGGCCTCTGCTTACAGAGAACTTTGCCTCTGGCAGAACTAACAAAGCAGAAAAACACACAGTCGGAGTCCATTCAGTATAGGTGCGTAGCGCAAACATGGGACACAAGGGAATGTCTCTTTCTCTCATTCTCGGACACTAAAGCTCAGAAAGCTCAGGAGCTAAAAGGGCGGAGAGTTGAAGCTGCAGGGATAACCTTAGGTAAAGCTGCCACATTAGGGTCTTGGAGAGCTCAGTAGAAAAGGGATACACAAACAGAGCCTGGAGGTCATCCAGAGAAGGCGTGTGAGAGCTACTGCAGTCTTGTATGAGAGAAATCGTATATCTATAGTAGATTTATGAGATTCAAATGTGAGGCTAAATCCCATAAAGTGAAGCTGGGTTTAACCTCAGGCCTTTCAGACTGTCTGCATTAGGAGAATATCTCATTCGATATGTGATGCACTCAGTTAATTGAACATTAACATGGATTAGTTGTAGTTTCATCTGAATGTACAGCCAAAGCAACATTTCCAGTGCAGCATAAAAAGCACAGCAGGGTGAACTGGGCTGTTCTGACTATTAGGCGACACCCCCACCCGCTTATCTTCATGTTATCCTAACCTGTGTTTGTCTCTGCAGGGTGATCTGTCTGTGTGCACAGTTTGAAGCGGTGCTGCAGCACGGTCTGAGGAAGAGCAGAGGTCTGGCCCTCACAGCTGCCGCTCTCAAACAGGCCGCAGGCTTCAGCAGCAAGACTGAAACAGGTACGCCAGGTTCCCGTACGGCTGTGAAATTGTGGGTTTAGAGTTGAAAAGTGGAGCAGAAACTTCACTTTAGCCCTCTGTGACCTTGGATAAGTAGACTTGCGGAAAGTCTGGGCGGCTATTACCATATGCAATGCTTTTCTGTCTTTCACAGGCAGTTAGAAGACAGGATTGTGCCTGAACCTGAGGATTTAGAGCTTACTAATGAAGCTAGGGCCACTGACAATGCTAGAAATACAATAATAGCCATAGTTTTAATTTTGTCTGAGGTCACATGGTGATTGTATGCAAACCAGCAGCATAACGCTCATCCCTATTAATTACCACACCTCAGAAAACACAACATTAAAACAGACCTAGTTTGAGTTCTGAGGAGAGAACAAAGGATGGAGACGGTCGGGATGGAGCTGTGTGAGTGGTGCGTGAAGGGTCCCCTCTTCTGTTAATGAGAGGGGGGATGTGCTGAGAGAGTCTTTTGCAGCTTCTTTTCTTCCCTTTTGAACTCTTACTTAACTCCAGAGCAGTTGTTTTTCACAATGGAGGTGGAGCTTATTCTTCCTCTTTCCTTTTATCCCGCTCGCTAGAGTTGACTTTCTGGTTCTACGTGAAGGAGCACCTGAACCGCCACGAGCTCCAGCGGTTTTACTCCCTGCGCCAGATCTCCTCAGAGCTCGGCCGAGGTCGTGCCTGGCTGCGCTGCGCCCTCAATGAGCACTCGCTGGAGCGCTACCTGCACACGTTGCTGGCTGACCGCCCCCGTCTCGGGTTAGTGACAAGCCCCCTCGTCAGTTATGCTCCGCACACATTTTCTCAGCTAGGTGGGATTTTTTCTTTCTTTTTCGCTTGTTTATAGATCTTTTGTGTTTTCTAGATCTTACTATGAAGACTGGGCTTTTGTGCTTGATGAAGAGAGAGCTAGTATGCTTCCCACCATGGCTGCAGGTGAGCTTGTGTTTTGGCATTAAATTATTGGTGGTAAACACACTAAACAGCTTGCTAACACAGCAGGAGAGTATAGGGTTCAAACTTTAATACAGACTTACAGCACTGTGCAAAAGTCTCGAGTCACCCAGGAAGTTCTTGTAATCGGATCTTTGATCAGCCATACGTCATCATTTCACAAGCATCTGATTGGTAACAGCTTCATTTTTCAGCATGAACATGATCTCAAACACACCTCCAGTACATATAAAGCATACCCGGATAGAAAAATGCATAACAGGACACTATCAGCCATGGATTGGCCTCCCCAGAGCCCGGGCCTAAACATCTCTTGACAGAGAACAGAAGGCAGCCAACATCCAAAGAAGAAGCCTGGATAACTATTCCAGAAGACCAATAAGCTGTACTGTTCTGCTCAGTATTAGTTTGCTGCATTTAACAATAAAGGTGATCATACCAAGTTTTAATTTTCATGCTCATGATAATTGTAAAAATTATTTTTTCAAGCAAAATATAAAGAAATGAGGAGTGGTGCAAGACTTTTGCACAGTGCTGTATGAGTTGGTTATAAGTTAAGCTAAAGTAACATAAGTGGAAGCAACTCAAACTGTTAAAGCTGGATGTAGCCACTCTGACATCAGACAGTGGCCTCTATACTGCTACCTGAATATTAGCATTTTGGCTAAAGCTATTTAGTTGCAGTCAGAAGGCTCTAGGTAGCTTGAATGCATCCACAGACTGTATGCCTGCATAGCCCAAACACATCTGCATACATTTCACCACAGCTTAAAACAAAGCACCAACTTGTTGGATGGCCTGTTGGTGTAATTAGCCACACAGCAGGGCATATTATGTCTGATAAACAAGGTTAAAAAGGTCAGCTTAGCGACTCAGATAATGCCTAACAGGCAGCCAGGGAGCTACGGATGTCCATGTCAGCTCCCACCCGGCATTTAAATTGTTGGAGACTCATAAAATAAAACTCCACTCTAGGACGTGCAGTTTGCTGCATTTCCACACTGGCTTCGTTTTTCAGCTTCTTCTGTGGCCCCTCTTATACAACTGAGCCCGAGGTTTAAAATTCCCTTTTAAAATATGGTCCTTTTGCTGGGCTATATTATATTTCTTGCCCCATTATTAGAATTTACATACTGGAAGATTTAAATTCAGCCAACTTATGGCTGCATTTTTAGTCTTTAAATGTTGTGTTCTCGTGTATTACTAACCACATTCAGTCTCTCTGAAATGACTTCACACAAACGGAGCTGCTGTAAAACACAGGAAACTGACTGACTTTGCACTTTACTTGTTAAGCATGAGTGGGTTTTTGCTGACAGTTTAAGCTCCGACCCCATTTATGTTAATGGGCGCACTGGTGCTGTTGAACTATTGATGAGCACAACTCGGATGAAAAACAAACCATAAAATTATTTAGAATGTAAACCACTGATCTTGTGCCAGAGCATTTCTGCTCTCTTCTTCTTCTTCTTCTTTTTTACATCTCGGGCAGATTTGTTGTGTGCACCCAGAAATACTTAGCAAGCACAAAGAAAGTTCAAAAGCTTCATGTGTTCTAGTGGGCCTAAATTACATTTCACTTCCTTCTCTCTCCATCTGCTGTGCTCAGGTTTGAACTCCATTCTGTTTGCCATCAACATTGACAACAGCGACCTGAACGGTGCCGTAACACGCGGAGGGTCCTCAGTGTCGCACCTCCTCAAGGAGTCCACGCAGGGCATTGGCAGTTTGTGGAAAGAGTCCACTCAGGGGGTTAGCAGCCTGCTGCGAGAGATCGGCACAGCCACAGCTGTGGTGCCTGGCTTCACCCCTAAAGTGGATGGGGCCTCCGACCCACTCCCCGTGGTGCCACGCAGCACCTCTGCTGGTAGGGCAACAGCAGTGTTTGACTTGCTATTATATGCAAGAAACTGGTGATTTTTTTTTTTTAGTTTTGCACTTGATTGATCCAAACACTTTCTGTTTATTTGCTTTGTTTTAGTATTGCAGTATATGTGTTTTTATAAGTGTCACAAAACCAGCAAAAAGCAACATATGGCTCAGTTTGTGCTTCCATAATGGATGCTTAAACAAGGATGCAGCTCGAGGCATCTGCAGCAGAGAAGAATCCCACCGTGAAGTCTGACCTCATTTAGAAGTCTGCCCCAGTCTGTCCCGTCGGGGGGAAACTCACACCATTTTCTCTCCATATGTTCTCCTCAACGGGACTAAAGCGCCTTTAGACTTTTAACTGTGCGCTGCTGAAACTTTCTGCTCAAATGAATGTAAATGAAATTCTAAGCTGCTGCTGCGCCGGCTCCTCGGAGTGGGAAAGCCTATTCAGATTATTCACCGCTAGAAGACTTGCTAATGCACAGCCAGCCTCTTTGGCTCTGAGAGGAAGGAGACAGACTTTCTTTTATCGTCATTCATCTGTTTCTCACAAAAGCCTTCGAAATGACGATAATTGCTTAACAGTCATCATGAGTCTAGCATATCAGCTACTTTCCAAACGAGGAGGAAAAACCAAAGCTAGTGTTGGTCTCAAGTATGAAGACACGGCGCCAGGAAATTCATCACTTTTGTCAGCAGAGGCAGAATCGGCAGATAATACACATAATTGTTTTTTTTTCCTCATTATGCACAGTTGAGCATGGATAGAAGTGCACATGTTCTGTAATTTGCAAACAGGACTGCTCCCAATTCTGTTGCCAGTCCTCTCCCTCCCTCCTCTCAGTCCAATTTGAGTTTTGCATTGCACATTTGTACCAGTTAAAAGCACTTAAACTAAACTGTAAACAGTTCTTTCACCTTACACTTAAATCATGAATGCAAAATCTGCATTCAGCCAAAGCAGCTGGTAATCGCAGTGTGCTATGTCGATAACATGGACTGTATATAAAAGATAGATGTATTTTGGGTCTCTTTTTAATGACTAGCAGGGCGCGAGCGCTCTGGTTGCAAAGAGATGTCCAGTTATATAGAGGTCTATGAGAAAACAAGCCGACTTCTCGTTCGGTTTATGACGTCGGTAAACATTTTTCATCTCGGTCAAGTGTTTCAACCATTATTGAATAGGTAATGATCTTAAATTTTTCATGCAGTCTTCGACCTCTGGCCAAAATACTCAGTTTGAGGGATCAAATGGGACTTCATTGATCAATGAGCGGCATCACAGTAGCTACAGCTTGTAATCCATAGATATTTTAGTGCTGATTTTTTAGCTTTTACTGCTTTCTCTATATAAGATGAATAAAATGACTGTTATGTGTCCTGTGTCTCAGTTATTACACATGATAAAAATGTCAGTATGCAGGTTATCTAAGTCTAAGTTAGCGTTTTAATCTTTTAAGCATTACAGCTGTTTGTAAGATGAAAGTATAAACATTAAAAATATATAAGTTTTTGTTCACTCCTTTGTAAAAAAAAAAAATCTTTTTCCACCCAGACTCAGGGCTGAGGAAGGAGCGGCGGAAGAAAAAGAAGATCACCAACATCATTTCCTTTGATGATGATCTGGATGGAGGAGCTGAGGATGAGGAGGACGGGGAAGACGACTCCCAGAAGATTGGCGGGATGAGGAAAAGTCACACCGCTCCTGCTCAGAGCAGTGTGGAGGAAGGGATTGACCCTTTGGAGCCGGTCTTCTCTGAGTCGCTTGCCCAGAATGGCATGTCTGAGCCGGGCATAGTCAACTGGGTGGGGTCCCCGCATCCCTGCCGCACACCTCCCATAACGGTGCCTCCGCTGCCTGACACCAAGAGTGTAGACAACGAGGAGGAAGAGGAGGAGATATATAAGCCTAGAGCCCAAACCCAAGAGGAAGAGAGGATACCGAGTGATCAGTAAGTGAAAAGAACCGAAGTAGACTAGTAGTAGTTGTACTTTAGACTCTGGTGCTCACAGCAGAAAAAATATATTTGAGAAATTCAGCAAAAAGCAGCATGTGAGCAGTTTGAGCTCAGCTTTCTTCTTTCTGCGTGCAGCTCGCTAACATTACATTTGAGCTGAAGGACTGTTGACTGTCACACTGTCATGAGCATAAGCCTTTCGTCACAGCTAGATGCATCGCTGCTCCTGCACGGTGATCTGGCTGCGGGTTGTTTAGTTTTGGTAGAAAATAAAAATAGTTCGGGTCATGATCATGACTTCTGGAAAGAGAGATTGGTGCCCTTTTTCTGTAATTGTTTTCTACAAAACTTGCCATCTTACACACAAACAGTCTGGTCTACAGACCAGAAGAAAATTACTTCAGTTAGATTGCATTTTTATACTTTTAGCACTCAATTTTAAATGTATGTATAAAATGTATGCATGAATAATACCACAAAAAGATATAGAATTTATTTATACCAAAGGTTTTCAAACTGTGAGCCGTGCCTTCCCAGGGTGGCGGAGACGTACATGAACAGCAGAAAGTTCTAATTTGTAGTTTTCAAATAAATACACATTCCCCAGACACTTTATTAGGCACACCTTGCTAGTCCTGAGCTGGATCCCCTTTTTCAACTTGAACTGTCTTAAATCTTCATGGCAGAGATTCAGCAAGGTGCTGGAAACATTCCTCAGAGATTTTGGTCCATATTGACTTGACAACATCACACTGTCGGCTGCACATGTGGAGTACACTGAGCTCACTGTCATGTTCAGCTAATGGGTTTGAGATGATTTGAGGTGGTGCATTATCCTGCTTGAGTTGAGCATGAGATGATGGTACACTGTGGTCGAACAGAGATGGACATGGTCAGAAACAATACTCGGGTAGAGAGCGTCATCTAAACACTGCTCAGTTTTAGTAAAGGGCTCAAAGTGTGACAAGAAAATATCCCTGATAAATTATACCACCACCATCATCACTCTGAACCCTTGATACCCCATGGTTTTATGTCAAATTCTGACTCTGACATGCAAACATTGAGCAGTTAATCGAGACTCAACAGACCAGGCAACTTTTCCAGTCTCATATTGTCCAGTTTTGGCAAGCCTGTGTTAATTGTAGCCTCAGTTTCCTGTTTTTAACTGACAGTAGTGGCAGCTGGTGCAGTTATTGCTGCTTTTGTAGTCCATCTGTAGGCTGGACTAGAGAAATGCCACTGGATTATTATTTCCTCTTTTTTTGGACCGTTCTCTTTAGATTCCAGAGGTGGTTGTGTGGGAAAGTCCCAGCAGATCAGCAGTCTCTGAGTTAGTCAAACCATCATTTGGCACCAACAACTCTGCCACATTCAAAGTCACTTAAATTATCTTTCTGCCCCAGAAAAAGCTTGGTTTAATTTCAACCTCTCATTTTGGCCATGTCTGTATGCTTACATGCACTTGGTTTATGCTGTGTGATTGGCTGATTATCATTATTATGCTGTGTTAACAGGTGTGTCTGTTACAGGTGTGTCAGACTTTGAACACACCACAATAAACTGACCTGTGGGTCAATTTATTCACTGATTCCTCAAGCAGCAAACTGACCAAGAGCGAAATTGTGCTGTTTTAGGGTGGTGGTGGGCAGCCTGTCCAGCGTGTCCACGTGGAGCCCTCTACAAGTCATGGCTGGACACAGCAGCGCAGACATCCTCATTCCTGTGAACCCTGCCGACCCTCAGTCAGGTACTGCAGCAGCGGTTAGTGGCTCTCGTCACAGTGGAAATGCACAATTCACACAAATAGCCAAAGATTGATTGTAGTTCTGTGGGAACTCATGAAATTTCTTGTCCCAAAATGATATCACGAGGATCAATCAGGAGTACACAATTTTATGCAATCTAGGCAAACATAACATTCACACATCAGTGCCTCTGGCAGTCTTTGATGGGGGACCTGAAAGGCCATAAAGGGAAATGGTACCTATTTCTCTTGCGGTAGGCATGCAGTGTTTTTACTGCTGATCAGAGCGGCTTATGGTTTCCGTGAAGGATTTATTTCATCGAATGAAATGCAGGGACTTTCTCTTTTGGCTTCCAGCTTTACTTTCACTTTGTTTCAGTGAGCTCCGTGGAAGACACGGCCGCATTTCCTGTTCAGTGTGAGTCGGCAGGATCAGTGGGAAACTGCGAGAGCAGCAGATCTCAGCTCACGTTCAAGTAAGCTGTCGTTTCAGGCAGAAGTGCTGTGAAACATTCTTCACTTCCAGGCCTCCTCGATGTGACGTTGTGCTGCAGCTTAATGCGCAAAATAAAATAAGAAGCAATTCCAAGATCTGATTCCTCTTTTGAATTCTTTCAGTATGGAGTCCAGTCCAACAACGCAGCCTGCTCCGCTCTCCAGCGCGCTGTCAACATCTGCTTTGCCCGAGTCCATGACAGTGGGTGAGTGTGCCTTCTTTATCCGTCTGTCTGTCTCTTACTATTTCTCGCCTCCTCTCTCTTCTTAATGTTGTCAAACCTGTTCTGTGATATGAATCATTGCGGTGTTTGACGCATGTTATTCACAAAAGCTGAGCGGCATATTTTATTCAGTCACTCTGACAAGAAAGGTTCAAACATGCCCACGAAAAAGATGGATTTGATCTCTTTTGGTGTGGAGCTGTGGGTTGGTTGCCAAACAAAAACATGTTGTTACTCGCGCATTTATTCGTGACCCTCAATTAGTTTCTTGGGAGTACGAGTAAAAAACACCTTAACCCTTTATTGACCATAGGCCCACCGGCGGGCCCATTTTACAGGTAAATTTGAAGGGCCGGTCAATAAAGGGTTAGGAACAGAAGAGTTAATTACAAATTGCTAAGAGTCACCTGCTGGATACACAACAAAATACTCATTTAGCTAGCAAAACGTCAGGTAAAAAAATGTTTTCAATTAATATTTTTGTTTTCTTGCATGCATGATTGCAGAATTTGTAAAATTGTGCACTGATGCATGCAAGGAAAAACAACACAAAACAAAAATTAAACTTAAAAAACCCCAACATTTGTACATATTTAATATTTCATTGAAACTGTGTGTGAGCACGTTGCATGGTGATGTGGCATTATGTAGATGCATGAGACTCTCTTCAGCCCAAAAGGTGATATGTGCGTTACACACACACACACACACCAGCAAAATGTGTGTGTGAGAAATTTGAGTTTGCGCAGCTGAATAACGAGTGGCCCAAAACGCCACAAACCTCTCCTAAATTGAATGAAACATACAAACGCCTTACATTAGATTTGAGTGCAGGAAACTCACTTGTCAAATTATCTGTTCCTCAAGAGGCTTTACCCAGAAGATGATCAGATTTCAAGCTGTAGGCCCAGAAGTTTGTGACCGTAATGAATCCTTTGGAAGTCCTGACATGTCTTTCTTGGGAAATTTCTCCACAGCTGTGGAACCCGGAGCAAATGAAATTGAACTTCCTGATTAGTGTTTTCAAACCTTGTTGTCATTTTTCTTGGCGGATAAACTGATCTAATTGCAGCGAGTTAAGCCCATCGTCCAGAGACTGCTCATTGTGTTTCCATTATGTCAAATCATCCACCAGGTGGCGCTGTTGTTCCAGTGTTCTGACATGTTACTGTATGTACTGTATGGACTCGCTCGTTTGCTTGGGAGCATGGCAAAAATCAGATTGTGAGAATGCCTGTAGTTCACATCAAATTTCTGATCTGTAAGAAAACAAAACACAAAAACACAGAAAACTAAAATGAAATCACATGATGGACATTTTGGTGTGTGCGACCAGCTCACTGAACACACAGACTTCTTTTCGTCTTGCCTGGAGTCTGCTTGGTGTTCTGCTCAGTGCCCCGGAGCTAATCAGAGCTTAGACCCTTAGACGCCCAGACGGATGCTGTTTGAGATTTTGGGATTTAGTGTGTGTGAGAGAGAGAAAGACGGAGAAAGCCAGAGGAGGAAAGGTGAGGGGGAACTGCTCTTAAGCACCGGGACTGAGTGGTCGTCTAGTCTATTAGTCCTCAGTAAGAGGAGGCCAGAGGGTCAAAGAGAGAGAAGGAGAGAGAGCTGGTGATCTAAAATTTCTCTC